TGGTCTGAGCGAAATCATCGATGACGTCTGTGGTACAGGTGACAGCTCACCTGTGGTTATACATCTTCTCTCCGTTCGGACATCTCCGATATATTGTTCGGGTGCCCACGAGGGTGTCCACGCACAACGAATACCCCCACTAGTCCCACTGTCCACGTCTTCATTATGACCTTAGCATTTGTGAAGTATACATGCGTTCTTGCTAGTATATTTTTTTATGTTCTGGTAATGTTCAGAGAAAATCGATGATAACCAAGGGAAATAAGGTAGGAATTGGTGTTCTTCTTGAATTTCTGGAGGTTATATGCCTCGGGGAACACCTCCCTTGGCAATGTGTTCCAGAGCCTCGCTGTTCGTTGGATGGGTTAATCGGGTTAATCTCGCGGGGACTGCCAAGGGAGGAACAATTGTTGAGAAGTGAGTGAGTTTGTGAGTGATGCATCACCCACGAGACTTATTGCCCTTTTTTGGACAGAATCCAACAGTTTCAGGGTATGTTTGGGTACTGCATTCCAAATTTGGGAACAGTATTCCAGGGCAGGTCGGATCTGTGCCTTATTGATCATAAGCAGCTGACTGGAAGTGAAAAAGCTCCTGGCCCGAAACAGAAAACCAAGTTTTTGGGATGCACTTTTAGCAATTGATCTCATATGATTTTCCCAAGGAAGGTTATTGCTGATAGTAATACCAAGCATCGAAATGGATGTCTACAAAGGTATGGTTACTCCTGACGAGCTTATGTTGGGCACAATTAAAATTCCAAGTCATACAAGTGCCCTTCTGAAAAACTGCTATATCATATTCGTGAAGATTCTCAGTTTGTGTGCCGCTCTCTGAGCTGTGGGGTGTTGAGTTCTTGATCTGTAATTCTTTTGAAGAATATAAATAATGAAATACACAACTCTTCCAGAACAGTACTCAATTGCGTTGACATCATATACAGGATTCTTTTCCACTTCCGATGATACTCGAAGTGGAAGAAAGTGTCGATTAATGAGTATGAGAGTTAATTTCCATTTCACTTTTTCCGACTTTTTCTGATGATGGACCGTTTTTCTCGGCGCATGATCCCGGTAGTGTCTCAATATTTGTCGTCAGCCTTACCTTTTTTGTTTTGAATAATGCACGAGTTTTTGCCTTTTCCTTTTTACCAAGGTTATTATTCTTCAGAGAACAATAAACGCAATTTTTTATAATGCCTAGCTAATGACTGGTAAATAAGTCACTGTTGACAGAAATATAAATCACTGATGACGAGTAATTAAGTCATTAATGACATGTGTTTAGGTCACTAATGACAAGTGAACAAGTCACTAATGATGTGATTAGGTCACTAATGACAAGTGAACGAGTCACTAATGACAAGTGAATAAGTCACTAATGACAAGTGAATAAGTTACTAATGACAAGTGAATAAGTCACTAACGGCAAGTGCTGTGTTCACTAACGGTTGTCAATCAGCAATTCAATGGAACAGGTTAATAGTGGTAGGTATACATTTTCAAGAACACAAATATTCTTGTGGTTATTAACTTGTTTCCTTGTGCCAAATAGTATACAAGTTTTTACTGGCCACTATTAAATATTCACCTAGGATCTGGAAAAGGTGTGGTTTATTAAGATGTTTATATATTATAATCTTCGATGGTTGATGGCACACTTCAAATTCGAGGACTTTCCTGTTTCCAGAATAATATAATTGCTCGGTGGCTCGATATACCGGGTGACTCAGGAGACATGTAACAGCCTGTAGTTTTTTTAGTTGAAAAGATGAAAATTTGAAATTCACAAGGGTTATATTATCGATGATGGCGTTTCCTTTGAATCCAATGAAACTTTTTTTTCAACCACCTGTTCGATTGGAAGTGGACCCAACTTTTTTTTCATATGGCGCCCCGTATATTTCTGTAGTCTATCTTATTTAACTTGAAATTCTCTATTCAACTATGTATCACAATTTGATATTCGTCCATTGATTGGCTGTTAAATTGCTTTTTATTGAAATATGTACATGAAGTTGGCTGTGGCCCAAATGCAATGACATTTCGATGCTTGATAGGCTTAGAAATCCAAAGATCATTACTTAGACGATATTATCAGAATATTTTCCATACCCTAATCGGTCCCAAAAGATTGCCAATAATTTCATTGAGTTTGAAAAAATCATCCGAAAATAACTCACGATATCAGGACGATACATCATCAACAATTTCAGTTTCATGTATCCAAATGGATGATCATATTATGGCTACATGGCAAAAATGAAAGACAAATAGTTTCTTCGCAAGTAGCCAAATGAAAAAAACTGAGTTTCTATCTTAGTTTTCTCAATATCGTGAGTTATTTTCGGATGATTTTTTGAACTCAATGAAACTATTGGCAATCTGCTGGGACCGATCAGGGTATGGAAAATATTCTGATAATATCGTCTAAGTAATGATCTTTGGATTTCTAAGCTTATCAAGCATCGAAATGTTATTACATTTGGGCCACAGCCAACTTCATGTATTTCAATAAAATGCAGTTTAACAGCCAGTGCTATTCGAAAAAAAAAAAGTTGGGTCTACTTCTGATCAAACAACAGGTGGTTGAAGAAAATTGTCAGCACCATCATCGATAATATAACCCTTGTGAATTTCAAATTTTTATCTCTTCAAATAAGGCAGGCTGTTACATGTGTCCTGTGTCATCCGGTATACTGACATGGGGAAACTCAATTATATGATGTCATTACTTCAAATACCCACCAATTTTCAAGGAAATCAGAAAAATAGTTTTCGATACATTATTAAAAAAGAGAATATCATTGGACACAGATTTTTCCCAAACGTCAACAACCTCTATGGGGAAAACGAAGCATTTTCAGAACTATCATCATGAAAATTTGGTTCCTCATTTTGTTGATCACCTATTGAAGTTTGACAGATGAGTACAAACGCACTCCTATGTACCTTCATCTCGACCTCCATATTCATTATATTGGATTAAAATCGAGATTAAAATTCAACAATATGCCTCATTGATTTTCTATTAAAATTTTTTCAATGCTCTTCTCGAGGCTGTTCCATTTGCTATATTTTTATTTGTGAATTTAAATAAATTTCTGATAAAAAATAGTACTTCGTTCATCTGATTTCAATAAAAATATATACCTCGATACCTACTCTTCAATTTTTCGGCGTACTTGAAAGTTGTTTTCAATTACAAACGAGCTACACAATGTAGGTAGGTACTTCAAATCTAAATATCATACATCATTTAGATTATAAAGATTACTCAAATTAACGTAAATCGAGACGAACGTAGGTACATCAACAAATTAAGACAAAAAATATCAGTGATAATAGATTTTTTACTTATCAGCTGTCCATAGTGAGATATCTTGTTATTGAAGAAAATATGATAAAACACATGAACGATGATTCAGAACTATTCAGAAGCAAAATGTGTTTATAAATTTTATGATACATATATCGGTGAATCAATATCTTAATATCCTATAAATCTCGTATAAATCATACAAATAGTAAAATTTTTCGTTAGGATCAAATGTGACACTTTGTTTGACAAGTGATATTTGCGTATGCGAGGCGGAGCGACCGCGAAGCCGAGCACGCAAATTTTGCGAGTCAGACAGTCACTTTTGATCCAATGAAACATGTTATTTTTGCAATCGAAATAATTGATATCTAATTAATTAAATATGAGTGAAAATACCGCGTCATCCGACACGTTTTTAGTTTCTAGGAGTTCAGCTCCTAAACACTTTGAGTGTTGCCTATAGCAATATACATACTAATCATTTTATTGTGCCAGTTAAGAGAAACGTCAACTTCAAGAGCTGATTTCGGAACCAAAGCACTATGAAAAGCAGGGTCCACACGAATTAATTCATGTGAATTAAGTCAGTGATTTTTCAAATAAGTCATGAATTAATTCAAATTTTATCAAATAGGAACAAATCTGACAAGGAATATTCTCAGATATAATTATGAACATAAAAGATGGGATATAAAGAGAAATACATTGAGAATTCGCATTCTCTATGTGATGAAAATATCAATTCTTTCTCGGTTTATTCAACAAAAAACAACTACTTTCCTGGCTATATGCCACGACGAACATTGAATTATATCAATTGAACACACACGATAGGAATTTTAAAACAAAATCTTCTGAAGTAGAGAATGTTCTCTCTCCTTCATATAAAGATATGTAATATGCACATAACATTATTCTGAATATTCAACAGAAACCAACTACTTTCCTGGCTATATGCCACGACGAACATTGAATTATATCAATTGAACACACACGATAGGAATTTTAAAACAAAATCTTCTGAAGTAGAAAATTTGCTCTCTCCTTCATATAAAGATATGTAATATGCACATAACATTATTCTGAATATTCAACAGAAACCAACTACTTTCCTGGC